ATTGACGGCCAGCACCTTCCTGCTGTTCATCTTCACGAAGCTGGCCAGGGGCAGCTGCGCGTGCGCGATCCCGTGGGCCGCCGCCTGCCGGTACGTGAGTCCCTGGGGGGAGACGGCGTGGGCGGGGCCGCGCCCCGGCCCCCGCCTCCTCACCATTGTTAACCAGCCCCGCCCCCGCTCACCTGGGGACGTGCTGGTCCTGGGGTCCTGGGCTCTTGGTTGGAGGCGCTGACGCTGACGCGCCCTGGAGCTGCGGGCCCGGGCGGGCGCCTGGCCTAAGCCAGCGTGGTCACGCGCGGGCACGGCCGGCCCCTGACAGGCTTCCGGTGCACCGCGAGTTGATGCTGGCCATGCTGATGCACTCGTCCTGCCCGCGGGTCTGCCAGGCCGCCGCCAGCGCCCTGTCCACGCTGCTGCAGCAGAACGGTGAGCCCGGGACTCAGTGTGGGACCCCCACGGGCAGCCCCGGGAGGGTGGACACGGTGGAGCAGACAGAGCCCGGCCCTCCTCTGCTTGGAAGGGGGGCTCCCCTGCCCAGGCCCCGCCCACGGCCTGCGAGGAGCCCCGCGCGGGCTGCCCCTGCCTGCCGCCGGGCTGACCCGTCTTAGCTCTGGGAGACGCTCAGCTCTTAGCGTCTTTTTCGATTCAGAAAGGCGCTAAGGTTCCTTTGTTTCGGACCTTCCCGTGCAAGACCCTTCCAGGGCCGAGGACGGCTCCCTGGGCAAAACCCTCCAGGGGAGGCCGCGGGCAGCCCCTCGGGGGGCGCGGCTGCCGCTGCCCTGGGGACGCGTGGGCCCGAGTGACGGGCGCGCCCTTGCAGCCAGCTTCAGGAAGGTGCTGCTGGCCAAGGGCATCCACCTCAACGCGCTGGAGCTGATGCGGCGGCACGCGGGCGCCCCGGGGGTGGCGGCCAGCGGCTGCAGGCTCCTGGGCCGGCTGCTGGAGGGCAGGTAGGAGCCGCCCGGAGTGCGCCCCGGGCCGACGCCCCCACCCTGCTGGCCAGGCCCCTCCGCATGGGGGCGTCGGGCGGGACGGGCTGTCGCCCAGGCGGGGTGGGGGGCGGGGCCTGCCTTGCCTCGGGGTGTCCTTGGGGTGAGAGCCCGCCCCGCCCAGGACCTGAAAATGCTGCTCGGCCACTGAGTCAGCCCGGCGCCGCTGCCCCCCGCCCGCCTTGGGCTCGCCGCGCTCGGCCTGGGAGGCGCAGTCGGGCGCTCCACGGTCACGTCTGCCGTCCGCAGTGACGCCTCCCTGGACACCGTGACGGCCGTGGTCCCCAAGATCATCGCGGTCATGCGGAGCCACGAGGCCGAGCTGCCGGTGCAGCTGGAGGCCGCCCAGGCCGTCCTGCACGTGCTGGCGCCAGGTGGGCGCGGGCCTGGTGCCCTCTGTGGCCTGGTGGCCCGGCGGGCGCCTCCCCCCCACCCCACAGCTGCCCCCCATCCTCGCTGGGGCTGGTGCTGGCCTGAGGGGGGGAAGGGTGTGGGGGCGGGGTGGCCCTTCTCTGGCCGCTGAGGGGAGGTGCGGGCTCCCCTCAGGACCGCAGCGCCGGCGCAGAGGCCAGCGGTGCCAGCTTGCGCCGGTCGGGGCTGCCTGCAGGGCGCCCCCAGCACGCGCGTGGCCGCCGTGACGGGGGTGGACGGTGGTGGCCGGCTGGCGCGGCTGGCAGACAGGACCACCGCGCCCTCCACGGAGCGGCTGGGTGCCAGGCTCCCTCTCTGCCAGGGGCGGGCAGTGCGAGGCGGGCACCGGCGCTCCGGCCGGGGTCTGCTGCAGAAAGCGCTTCCCCTGGAGGCTGCCTGCGCTGCCAGCCTGGGGACCCCGCGTCGGGGCTGAGACCCTTGGGCACGGCCAGCGGCAGGGCCGAGGTCTGGAATCCCGCCCAGAAAGGCGCCTGGCGCTCAGGGGTCTGTCTGCTCGCAGGCGGGCGCGAGGGGCGCGGGGGCCTTGCGCTGGACGAGGTCAGGGAGCAGTGCTGGCGGAGCGGCCTCCACGAGCCCGTCCTGGCGGCTCTGCGCAGGGTAGGTGCTGCCCCGGCGGCCTGCCGCCGGCCAGGCGCTGCGGCCGAGAACCCGGGCGCGCTTCCGCCCTGTGCCCGCTGTTCCAGCCTGTGCCCCTCAGGGGGCTCCTGGGGGCCGTTCCTGCCCCTGGCTGGGCTGGTCTTAGCTGTCCTGCGTGTGCGGGACAGTGGCTGACCACAGCCCCGACGGCGGCCTCCCCTCGCTGGTGCGGTCTGCTTGAGCCAGGGGCCAGTGCCTGGGTGTGTCCAGCAGCCTCCTGAGCCCCGTGAGGCTGCTGCCTGGCCGGTGCCCATCCCAGAGGGTCAGGGAGCTCGAGGTCCGGCCGCGACTCTCCCAGCAGAGACGAGTCGCTGTGCCACCGCGCGGGCTTAGCCAGAGGCTGCCGGGCCGGACGCGAACCTGCCCGAAGTGGACCTTCTGTGCGTGCCCTCGCTGGCCTCTCGGGAGAGCTCCGCATTTGCTCGGGGCCTGAGCCGTGGGGGGTCTGAGGGCCAGGGCCTGGCGCCGCCCGCGGGGAGGGAGCCGGAGCGCCAGTCCTGCCCTGGGGGCTCCTGGGGCAGTGTGTGGAGCCCGTCCAGGGCGGTGAGCGCGTGGGGGTTTGGGGGAGAGGGTGGAGGTGGGGCCCGGGGTGGTCGCAGGTGTGGGGGGGGCAGCACCGCCTCGGGGTGCCCGAGCAGGAGCCCATGGGGTGGGGGCCTGGCCTGAGGCGCTCTGGGGTGACGGGAAAGGCGGGGCGCTGGCCCTGGGCCCTGGGGTCCTGTCCTGCAGCCGCACTGCTCCGTGGTGCTGGGGAGGGGCGGCGCCGCGGCCCGCGTCTGGACTCCTGCTGGAGCCACCTTGGTTCTGCGGGTGCAGCCGCTGCGGCGC